GGAAAGACCTAGAGTGAAAGATTGAAAACTTATGGTAGTGTGGAATAATTTTTTTCCAAAAGCTAAAGATGGCAAACACATCCACAGCTACCAAAACTGTAAAGAAAACACTGCCAATGATAGCCTCTCCAGCAGGACAGAAGATAATAACAGACATGCCGAGCAGTGAAAAACCAGGATCTGCACCAACCCTACAAAGCCTACAAGCCTCATTAAAGATGATTCGGGAATTTATGATTAAAAGCACAAGAATCAATAACCAACAATCACGAGGAAATGAAAGGTGATCTAGGGGAAGTGAAAGATGATATAAAGAAGTTGGATGATAGAATGGGGAAGATACAGGAAACAGTAGCCAAAAATGAGNTTTTTGACAAAAAACAGGCCCATTTTCACAAAAAGCGGGCCATTTTTGGGAGGTCTGCAAAGTGCAAAAACTTTTTTTAAAAATTTGCTTCTTCAAAATCTTGGTGCGTCTTATACTCCGGTGCACCTTATGCTCTGCAAAATATGGTATACATTTTCTTTACTGTAAGTTTCTGGTAAAATCCCCAACAGGAATATTTCAAGTTTCAAGAGAATATGTTGTTGTATTATCTTTTCCAACCACGTATGTATTTTTGTCCAATATTTTTTTGCTTCTACACATGTCCACCACATATGATAATACGAGCCAGGTGTCTGATGACATTTCCAACATTTAGCTAATTTATCTTTAAACATCTTTACCAATCTTGCCAGTGGCAAATGCCATCTATAAAACATTTTATACAGATTTTCTTTATATGCAGTTGACATTGTCAGTTTATAATTTCTATCCCATAATTGCCGCCATTTTGCTAGTTCTATCGTACAACCAAAGTTTTTTGCCCAAGCTATCATTGTTTTTTTCACTTGTTCTTCTTCTAGCTTGATACTCAATAAATAACTGTATATTTTTTTATCATCTTCTCTTCTGTTCCTGTTAATACCTTATCTAATTCTGTCAAGTCCATATAAAAACCATATAATTTAGCATCTTTTTCGTACCTGGATTGTATTTGTAGTTGTGTATACTAAACCATATTGATCCCTTGCTTTTCTAATTCTTGCTTAGTTTTGAGTTCCTCCTTTTCAGTCAAGATATCTTTGTATCTAACGATATTTCCCATATTAATAATATTTGGGTGTATTAGTGATTCCATCCTCGAAAGCCAAACTGGTATCTTATATAATAATGCTGTTCTCTAATTTTCTCCCAGACTGATAATAAAGCATTTCTTATATAGTGTCTTTGAAAGTAACCATGTATCTTACTTTTCCCAAACCATAAGAAGGCACGCCAATCCAATTGCAAATCATGTCCCTCCAGTGTCAATAATCTTGTGTTTCTAAAGACAATCCATTCTTTCATCCATGTTAACACCACAGCCCAATAATAAAGTTCCCAATTTAGTAACCCAAAACCTCCTCTAGTTCTTGCATCCTGTAACATTTTTAAATTAATTCATTCTTTTTTCCCTTGCCAGATATATTTCATTATTACTTTATTAAGGTCTTCAAAATATTTTTTCTCCAATCTTGTCGGAATTGTTTGAAATAAATATAATAACCTCGGTAATACATTCATCTTAATTGTAGCTATTCTTCCTATTAACAATAGTTGCAAGTTTTNTCCACTTACTGAAACAAAGCCAGCACTCCACACACCCTACCAAGATTTATATAAAGACGGCAGCTCCGATCACACTTTGAGCCCCAAACCCAGCTTGAAGATGGCGAGTGAGACCTCGCTGAAGCGTTGCCAAGACAATCTCAATCTTACATGGGAAAAGACTTGAATACAACAAGACCAGCATACCTACAACGTGAAAATCTGCGGTGGGGTGCCACCTGCTCCATCCTTCGGCCGCCTCCCCCCGCCCTTAAGCCGGCCTACCCCTGGCCAGTCCAGCAGAGCTCCAGAGGAGGCAGAGGCGGAGCGTTTCCTCAGCCGGGCTGGCCGCGCGCGCTCTCCACCCCCCCTCACAGCGATCCAGCTACGGCCTCACCAAGGCGGCTCTGACGGGGCGGTGGCAGCGGTGGCAGCCTGAGGTGCAGCAGTGCTGGGGCGGCCCCTGGGTGCCCCGTGAGGTGGCACACCAAGGACTTCTCCTCCGAGATCCTGGACGTCTCACTCTCCCGGACCACCGACTTGGGGGAGCCCAAGCGCAGCTCCTCCGAGGAGATGCTCAACAACTTCCACGAGGCCGACAGCCCCGGCGCTGTCTCCCCCAACCAGCCTCACCTGGCCCAGCAGCCCCGAGTCCTGACCAATGGCAGCACCCACCTGCCGCCCCACTACGCCCAGACTCGGCCACAGCAACGTGTGGCCGGGTACAGCTGGTATATATATAAAATACAAACAGTCCATCATCCGTTAAACAGTGTGTCATCTGGGTATAAATGTTTTGTTCAATAACAGTTAACATTTACAATCATATTCATTATTTACCGTATTTTTCGGAGTATAAGACGCACTTTTTTCCCTCAGAAAAGAGGCTGAAAATCTGGGTGCATCTTATACACTGAATACAGCACTTTTGGCCTCCTGAAACCCTGCCGCCTTCACCAAAATGGCTGTGCATACCCTTTAGGAGGCTTCCAGAGTGCTCCTGGGGGCTGGGGAGGGAAAAAAGGAGCAAAAAAGAGGCCGATTCCCCCACCCCAGCCCCCAGGAGCACTCTGGAAGCCTCCTAAAGGGTATGCACAGCCATTTTGGTGAAGGCGGCAGGGTTTCAGGAG